TGATCAAGTGACCTTTGTCCTTTATCTTTTGCAACAAGCGGAACGTGTTATGTGTCCCAGATAGCGACGTCATCAGTATACTAGTGTCTTTATATTATAGCATACGAAAAAATCAATCTTCGCTTATTTTTTATGTTGGTTGTTATAAACAAATTTTCTTTCGTTGGCTTATCAGTAAACTTTAGTTCTTATAAGGCTAAAGAGTTATACCCCATAGTACATACAGACCATTGTATGGCTTTGTGCTTGGACAAACAAAACAAAAAATAAATAAAAACAATTTAAAGGAATTAACGTTAAGTGCTGATAATAAACCTTCAAACATAATGTCTGCTTTTCTGTCTATTGTAGTTAAGCTCCATGTCTTCATAGCTTTAGATTTAAAAGCACAAACAACCTATTGTAATCACTTATGGAGTTTAAAATAGGTGTTGAAAATTAATGAACTTGTATAAAAAGCTAATGGGCACAAGTTCTTTTCTGTGATGAAATTAAGCAATTTTTATTTTCTTAAACTTGAAAAACAAGTATTTACCTCAAGTGTTCAGGTGTGAAAATTATCTATTAAACTTTATTACTGCAAAATAGTAAAACACAACTAATTCCATAACAATATTTTATTGAATAAACAACAAAAGTCCTAAAGGATCTGGTTGCATGAACTATTCTTTCAATACTTGGTGTTGGGGCATTACACATTCTTAGAAAAATACATATTTACTAGTTTTTACAGTGAGGTAACAAGAGATCATACACAAATACTTGTAATAGATGATTTTATTATATGTCCACAATATATACAATCATCAAATATAACACAGAAAAAACGATTTTATGTTTATTTAGTATTTTCAACACATTATGGTATTTTTTGATACCTCATCATAGAAGGCTTATCAAAAAATTAAGTTTTTTTCTTTATGCACAGCATTTTTAGATGCATTGTTGTTTTTAGCATAATCAGTTGGCACTTGCTTTCAGTTCTTGAAATAAATTATGTTAAAAATATTTATTTGTAGAATTCTCCACAAAATTAACTATTTTATAGCCTAAAGAAAAATGCTTTTACTTATTATTTCAATATCACAAAATGAACACCATTACACGTAAAAAAAAATTATTTATAATATTTAGGGGTTTTTGAGTCCTCTTTAATTCACCTATTTTGATTTAGGTGTGTGAATAATATGGCACTATGCCTAATTTATTATTCGATATTATACAGCAGATAAACTGTTTAATGATTCTATATGTATGTCACAGGTTTCTTTTCTCTTCTACCACAGATAAAATTGAAAAGAGAATTTGCAACATAGATGCCTAATGCACTCACTAATTGGCCATATATTATCTTTGTATAATATAAAAATATACAATTCAAGCTCAGTTTCATTAAAAGTTGCTAAATGTAAAATTTTCTATCACAGAATTTCACGTACATTTATTGAAATATTACAGTAAATTATATACTGAATATCAATCAATGCATGTAATATCAATCTCATTGTTTATTATTCAATATATATTGATTAATCAGATCTTTATTTAACAAAACTATAATCCAATATCTGTTGCTTAAAAAATCATCTTGATCGTTTTCAGTTTTTTTTACAACTGAAATTAGGCTTTTACATCATAAATTCTCTTTTAAATTTTACCACTGTTGAAAGAGAAAAGAAATTTGTGATATAAATATCAAAATATTCTTTAGTTTTCACTTTGACCAATTCTACACGAGTTTATCGCTACCTTACATTTATCATGAACCTATCAATGAAGACCACAAGTACAATCATTATTATTACAAAGCTACAAAGCACATTGTAGAACAAAAACCTCAGCAACAACTCTTTAGGAGGTTAGTTCTTTCATTATTAATTGCTAGCTTGTTGGATAAATACTAGAACAACTAAAAGTTTATTTCTTGAATTGTCTTTTAGAAAATGTCTTAGTTTTTTTGCACTAAATCAAGATATATATATTATAAAAAGAAATATGTATTGGGTAACACCACATCATCCACTACATAGAAAATTTCTCAATTTTAAAAGAAACATTCAAATATAAAAAAAATCCTAGCATAAATGATATATTGCTGTAAGGTCAAAATAAAAGAACTTTTGCAGACTAAAATGTCCAATATGAGCTTAGTTAACTGTCCATATATAATGCCTGCTAATTTACATGACTTGGAAAAAAACAACATGCCATTCAGTTTCTTCAGTTAACTTGACACTGTATTGTAGCATTCAAACTTTTTTTTTGTTATACATAACAATGTACACAAAGGCACATGCAACACACAATATAATGCATAGCACAAAATGTATTTTGAGTGCAAGGCTGCATAATAAACTTTCTTATTGAAAACACAATCATATAGTAACTGTAAATTATTATTCAATATAGATTAAAAGCTATTGAAATAGCAAATGCACCATAAGTTGTAAACTGGTAAATAAAATGATTAATATTAATATGATTATTATAATAAACCTAAAACACCATTATTGAATAAAAACCATAGTATTTGAAAAATTGTAAATACACTATAATTTGTAAACTAAGGAATTCAAAAAACTTGAAATAGGAATATAACTTTTATTGAAAACATTGCTATATAAATACAATTTATTTTGTTTAAATAGTTTCACTGGCAGAAATTTACTTAAGGTCAGAGATGTATTTCATAAGAAAACAAGACCAATACTGACCACAACACTGAAATTTTAATGTGACATTCATGTAACCATATAGATCATACAAGGGAGAAGCAAGAGCATTTAGCGGCTCATAACAGTAAACCTTGAATTTTATACAATGGATACTGTATCACAAATCACTGAAGTGTTATTCAAACTAAATGCATACGTTCAGTCACTCCCCCTTATGCAAGATACACAATTTAACAATACTAACAACAGAAGAAAAAATTTTTTGTATCTTCTACTTAATGTAGCACATTATCTACAAATACCACACCTTACAAAGTGTCTTTCATTTACTTTGTTTGTTTCATTAAGTTTACTATCTAATAGATATATTTTAACAAGAATCATTTCTCAAAACTACAGTAAAAATAGTTTTTATACAGCTTGTTTGTTTTTGGTGATATTTGTGTTAAGCTAGTCAAGGGTTATCTGTGCTAGCCACACATAATTTTGAACTGATGGACCAGAGGGAAGGCAACTTTTCAACATCACCTATTATAAACTCTTGTCCAACTAAATAGTAGAATCTCACAGTACTATTACAATGCACCCAAAGTGTGTAGTGTGATACTTTGTTGCTGGTAATAGAATGTGAAGACTGGACCTACAAATCCATAATCAAGCCCACTAATCACAGTCCCATGTCCTGTCCATTTCATATGGCATTAACATTTCTATTCTACACAGGTTAAGCCATTTAGATTATCATATGGTCAGAAGTGCCATGTCTGTCCCATTTCATATGGCATTAACGTTTCTATTCTACACAGATTAAGCCATTTAGATTATCATATGGTCAGAACATATATATATATATATATATATATTTATTTGTATAATATATAAAATATAAATTCATGTTCTACTTTTTATAAAATTGTTAAATTGTACATTTTTCTGTCATAGAATTTCGAGTACAT